CAATTTTAGATGGCACATTATACAGCGCCTCAAGCGGTCACAAGAAGAAATAACATTTCGTATATAAGCATTTTACGCATTACACCGATTACCTGTGCCTTTATCGTGAGCTTGCTGCATGTTTACTGTGACAGTTATCGCTAAAGACAGCGTAAATTATTTGTATAGAAAACGTCACTTCTTCTCGTGACCGATATACAATAAATATACAATTTTTCATACTAAAATCTGAAGTAAAAAACGCGCTCGCTAGCGACAACTGTCATTGTAATCTCTTGGTAGAGGCAGTAGATCTCAAAAAGATAATTCCCTGCACTATAAGTTTCAGAACAACGGAATCATTTCGGGGCACTATCCGGAATGGTCCACATTGGCAAACTGTCAAGTTACCGAGGCCGTTAATGATGCGTGTGTACTTTGAAGGCGATTAATGTCCTTATTAGGGTATCATCACACTCTTTGACACAGAATCGTATTAAACCGGACGGAAAAAGGTTTATGTTTTTTTAAATTTATTTGGTTTACTAGCGGCTATTAATTACATTGTGACTTATTTTCTAATTATTAATGCACAGTAAATTTACCTGTAGGTAAACACCTCATGAAAAAAATGGCAAACGAACTTTTAAATGCTATTTTTTTTTTTAATATTTTTTAAAAACAAAGGCAAACAATCTGCATGTACGTCCATATTCACTATTTATATTATATAACTTACAAATTCAGTATATGGGTGAGTTCGTACCAATTTTGGTTATTCGAAGAGGTGGGCAAAATGGTTGGATATAGTACAGGGGTGTCTATGAGACACTCTAAATCCTATTTGGCTTAGTAGGATCGAACAATCAATTTAAAAAAATAAGATCTCATATATCCCTACGGTTTTCACGGCCCATCATATGAAATCGCTTAAATCTCATTTTGCAAGAAGATCGTTTAGTCACTCCCTGCAAATATGCTAAGTGGCACAATTTTTTTTTTTTTAGGTAGTGTGTGGCAAAATGAGGTCTCCAAAATACACTGCAGTACTCTAGAATACTACGCACCAGTGAGTTGAAAAGTAGTTTTTTTATGATTAGTTTAAAAAGAGCGAAAATGACTTTGTGCCGTTTCGCGTCGGACTGTCCGAGCGGTAGCGATACGCGCCTTTTTCGGTTTTATTATCATTAAGAATTTTCTAACCGACTCAGGCCAATTTTGCGTTAATTAGTGCGCTGACTCCCTTATTTGTTCAAACGTTCCTAGAAGAACGATAATGTTTAAATAATATTCCTTAAAACACCTGATTTGAGACAAATGTAGTATTGTGTAAGTTTTATAGAGTTTAAATATAAAAAAACTTAAATTACTTAAATTAAACTTAAAAACCACCAATATAAAACAGTGTACTCCAAAAATTCTATTAATTCACTATCCGAAAGCGAACATCACAAAGAAAAATTCGTTCGATCTGACAGGATTCGAACCAGACTGGACCATGTCATCAGATATTAAACCTAATACAAACATCTGTAACAAATGCATAGAGAAATTCTTAAAATGTGCTCACTTGGCCTGTAGCTCACTTGGTTAAGAGTTATCTCTAATTTATCTTTATTGTAAGTACCATTTCCATGTTTAGTCCCCCCACTCGTTTCCTGTTGGTCCTTGTGACAAGGGGTAGAAGTTGCGTATACACCCCGTAGATCTCATTTGCCCAGCCCAGCCCAGCGAACGTCCGGAAGCTTAAAAGTCAAATTTTGAAAAATTGCTCAGTCCTACTGAAAATTTTATTTTGATCCTCAGTAGGACAAACAGATTAAAAGAAACTTAATTCTTCCCTTTACAACATAAGCATTTATGTCTAAAGGCTATACTAGACCATCTCACGTGAAAAAGTTATTTGTTAGTTTTGGAATACCTAAATTTAATAAGGCCAGTGACGACGAGGCAGACAAAGAATGCGATGGCGGGTTGACTTCGACGCATAATATAAGATAATGTCTATTTCCTTTAGCATTTACCAACTGATTACACAGAGAGAGAGAGAGAGAGAGCGCCCGTCACCCTGACACATAAGTTGACAAGTTCCATATGCTTATAGTTTTGGTCATCTGAAAGCGCTGCTGCATACATGCTCCTTCTTCTCCACTGTTCTCTGTTATGGGATGTGTTCACATCGCCATTCGTCTCTGCGTGTGTCCTCTTCATCAAGTTCTATGATCTTACTTGTATTGTATACTTAGTCATTATTTGAACAAGAGACAATTACGACAATAGTAGAGACTTTTTCTGTTCTGTGAGTGAGTAAGTTAATGAAAATTACTTCCTGAATCACAACTCAGAACGTGCAGACCAAAAACAATTGAGAAAACTGGTTTTACCAGAAAAATACCCGGGATATGTCACTAAGCGCTGGTTCACCGTCGAAGTCAAAACAAAGCAATACTAAAGCGAAAAGAAATTATACTTACCTTCAACGTGCCTTCAAGTTTACGCAATAACAGGACCAACTACGTAGATAATAGGATCTAATTAAGGCACAATAGAAAATGAGGATATTTGCAACACTGGCATCCACACGTGCTGTGCATCTGCAGGATCTTGCGAACTTCCACATCCACTGCGGTTTACCGTGCTCACGCAACCGGGGATGCTCATTGGTGATCTTGAGACTTACTGAATAAAGGATTATAAAATTATTTAGAATCCTGACGATAAATCACTTAATCAACTAGGTTCCTTCGGCTGGATACAAACACTAGATCATAGTGGACAACAAATTAATGATAACCTTGTTGAAAAAACGTTTGTAATATATAGGATAATAACCGTTTTTAATAGCCATTTTGGTGTATACGTTTGGTTTGTATTGGTAAGTCAAATCACATTGAGTTTTTAGGTTTTCGTTGTTTGTTACTGTTAAATGGAACTTGTAAAGAGTCCGACACGTGGTTTATTTGTAAAAACTAATAATCTCAGTACAGAGTACTAAAAAAGCCGACCTCAAAAGTCATTCATCCCTTAGTTTGCCACCCTTAAAGGTGGAATACTTTCTTTAAATTTAAATGGGACCACTACCGAGGTACAACAAAAAAAGAATCATCACAATCGGTTCACAAATTATCCAGCGTTATCGCATAACATACATAAAAAAAATATGCATTCGAATTAAGAACCTCCTTCCTTTTTTAAGGTCGGTTAAAAAATATACGATTTAGATCCGAAAAGTTTATTATCGAAGTAAAGTTACTGCTAAAAATATCGTGGAAACACCACCAGCTGTAAATACAAGGGGTACGGATAACCAGTATTTTTTGTTTAAAATTTGAATGACAGTCAAAATGTCAGTACAGAATAAACAGTTAAGCAATAAACTTATAACGTCTGTCTTATTCGTCGCGTCACTTAATATTATAAAAAAAAAACACTGTTAAATGTAATTATAGAGAAATGTAATTAAAGATGGTTTAAAAATCTTAGACAACTGCTATTTGCTACTAACTACCTCCGTGGTTACCATGGTGGTCTGCCATGCAGAGGTCCAGGGTTCGATTCCCACGCCGGGAGGAATATTTGTACGGCCTACATTTATTACTACATTTATTTATGACGGCCTCCGTAGTCGAGTGGCTTGCACACCATTTTTCATGGTGTCGCCATCACAGAGGTCCCGGGTTCGATCTCCGGCCGGGTCAGTGTAGAAAACTAACTTTTCTACATAGTCTCGGGTCTGGGTGTTTGTGATATCGTCGTTGTTTCCGATTTTTATAACAGAAGGTCTTTAGTTACTCACTTTGACATCGGAACAACGTATGTGATATTTATTTATTATTATTTCTCTCGTGAGTTTGGATGTAATTTGTGGTTGTCTATGTGTCAGAGTTTCTCCAGTGCGGGGGTTATGAGTGTGTGCGTTATTTATTATTTTGTCTGTCTATACTTTTGTACTTTCATTGAATGAATATAGTACACAGAGCTAGAAATAAATGATTGTATTACCTAATTGAGAAATATGTTTTTCACCGACATTTCCGTTATATATTTGACTATTGCACGTATAATATGTATAATATAACACAGATAAAATTTATTCAAGTATAGTCTTCACCGTATAAGCAATTATTATATTCGGGTTTTCTCGACAACGTGACGTTAACAAGCGATCCCGGACGAAAGTTTTTTTCATGTTGGTTGATAAATAGTTTTTCAGATTTTGAGGTTTTTTTGCAACTTCAAATTCTCAGCACAAATTTGTATATTGTTAAGAGTCGATACAGTGTGTAAGTACATTTTTTTAATAAAAAATTGACCGAGTATGTGTGGTTAACGGAACTTGGGTGAAAAACCGTATTCATAATTTGCCAACCTTAGAGGTGGAGTATTTTCTTTAAATTTGAAAGGGACCACTTCTGAGGCCCCCTTTCAAAGAAAAAAAAAACATTGTAATCTATTCACAAATGATGGAGACATCGAATAACATACACAAAAAAAGACGAAAAATAGGGAACCTTATTCTTTTGCTGAAGTCTTTTTTTTTATTGTATCAAGTAACGGGACGAAAAAGGCGTGCACCTGATGGTAAACTACACGTCTCGTCTCATTCGTAGAACAAAGATCTATGTGCAAGACTACTTGTTCTCAGGACATAGTACATTTCGTTCGTTCTTCTTCGCTGTGGATTTCGATTTTATATTTTCGAAACAATATAAGATATATAACTTCTCAAAACACCTTTATTCTTAGTTTGAATAACGAAATTATTCTCGTGACGTCCTTATTTTCTTTTCGCTATGTAATCACATCGGACTCTGTTCTTCAGATGAGTCGGTCTGTCTATAACAGTCGGTTAAAAATAGAAGCAAATGCGTTCAGGGACCTTGTCGAAATTTCGGAATGTCGCTGATTGTTGCTATCGTTTGGCCTACGACGGCGTTGGCAGCATTAGCGAATTCAATTAAGTGTTAAGTGTTGTTGTTATTACGTAGGGCTGATGACCGTTCGCGTCCTTACATCGGTGGAGGTGGGTGCGCTCGCGCAGTGCGGGCCCACACCGCGGCCAGTACGGGCGACGCCACAGTGCACCTAGCTTGTGAAACTCGCGTTGTGAAACCGGCGAAATGTTGACGACGACTGTACTCCTTCTTGCCATACACGCGGCAACCGCGGACATACGTAAGTGTTGGCAAATTTATTCGTAATGGGAACGTTTTGAGCAAGAAATACCTCTTGAAACTTGAATTCCACTCTTGTTGGGTAAAAGTGATTGAAGACACCATTCAGTTTCTTAAGGAAATATGGTTATCAGTTATCGTTACATAAATATAATTGGGTGTTTATATAGATAATAAAGCTGAAAGTGAAGATATGAAATTGTTATGTAATTGCGGCATAACTTAGCCTTGTATTGTTTGGGGATGGTTAAAAGGGATAGGAAGACCAATGTATGGCTTGTGTGAAAGATGTTTATGATATTTAACTGCCTCCTTGGGCGAATGGTTTACATGCTGCCACGCAGAGGTCCTGGGTTCCGGGCCGGGAGAAATATTTGCATGGTGGCCTACATTTATTTCTCTCGTGAGTCTGGGTGTTTGTGGTTGTCTACATATGTGTATGT